AAATTATCGGATTTCTCCATCGCGTATTACATATGAGCTTTGCTTAATTGTTACTTGAAATTGATTGTATATTGTTCTCAGATCACTATACTAGCTCAAAAAATTCCAGTTAACAAATCGGGTTACTTTTAAAGAAAATGGTAGGGAATAACCCTTTTTTTTTTAAATATATGGAAGTAAAGTGAAAATTAGGTAAATGACTGTTTGTTTGACCATTTTCCTAATAAGTGGTGGATTTTTTTTTTTAAAATAAATCGTCAAATTTTTTTTTTATTTTAACAAAATGACTATTTTTCCAATAGGCAATAAGTGATTGACTATTAATTAACCGACAGTCAATTACTAATTAGTTGAGTCATTATTATAATTTACTAATGATTTATTATTAATAAACAATAAATTTGTTGATTAAAATTGATTAATTACTAATTAATTTTAGTTAATTATGAACTGATATTAATTAATAACGAAAAATTACAGTGTTAATCAGTGAATGATTGCTAAGTAAATTAGTGATTGATTACTAAATTAATTAGTGATTGACTACTAAGTTAATAAAAGAAACAATCATTTTGCTAATTTTACAAAACTACAACTATTTAAAAAAAATCCTAAAAAGGGGTTATTTACCTCTATAAAAAAATCCTAAGGAGAACGGGACCGTGCTAGCTCGTTCTTGCATCTCTAAAACTGAGATCCAATAATAATTAATAAAAAATTATATTTTGACTAAATAAAAAATTATATTTTAACCCCTAAAGTTTCAAAAAATTATATTTTGACTAAAATTTTGGAAATTATATATTGACAATTATTTTTTTAAAAAATTACATTTTAACCCTAAAGTTTTCAAGATTTACAATTTTTGACACCCTCAATTTAGTTTGCTTTTCTATTTTCTATCTTTGTATTTTTGTGTTTCAAAAATGTTGGGATCCGATTTGTGTTGATTTAATTTTGTTTATCGAGTAGTTATTTGTTGTAGGATTTCAATAGATCTTAGTCATGAATCATAGTATTTATCTAATTATGTTAAATTGATTGCTCTATGTGTGCTTAATGCTTTTAATTTCTCGATCAACAATCAAATGATTAGGAGGCCATAATGAATTTAGAAAAGATATTTGTGTGTTTGTCAAACATAGAGTGACATTATGCGAGTGGCATAAGAATATGCTTGCTAGATTAGGGTAGCCATTAGAGGGAACCTGTAGCTTAATGAATTCTTGATTAATTGGTACTGATAGGGATATGGTGTTGATTAATTGAGAATATTTTAACTTGACTACTGAGAGGGGCTTCTCGATAGGTGAGATTATTCTCGGCTATCACTTAATTAGAGGGCTAAATTAGAGAGAATTGAGAATGCTTTGTAGATTGGTTAGGTAAAATTGGACCCCTAAAACTGTTTGCTTATCGTTTTGTTTACTTAATTTTGTTTAATTTAATTTAATTGGTTCTCTCTCTCTTTATTATTTGTTGACTGTATATTCTCACACGTTAGGTTATAAATTATAGATGGATGATCTCTCTCTCTCTCTCTATACGTATGATATACGTCCATGATTGCATCAAATTGACTAACCCAACAAGTGGGGGTTTGTTTAATGAATATAGTATAAAATTAAAGGAATGACAGCTTTTGCAGTTGCCGACTCTGCGAGAATAAAATAGCGTATGAGTTGAGTACATATTATATGCAGCTAGATTTAGCTTGTCATTGTTTGTGTCACTGTTTATTCAAAGAACAAAAAATATATATATGTTTTGTGTCACACTATTTATTTATTATATACACACACAACACATAGAATGAGATGGATCAAATATATAATTGTGTAACATATTTATTAAGACCCGTTCATTTCTTTGATTTGAGTTTTACTACTACAGTAAAAAGCTTTCAGAAACAGTCACATCTAACTTTTTTGCTGCAGTAAAAAGCTCTTACATAAAATCACATATCAACTCAAAGTAACGAACTAAACGGGCCCTAAATGTTTTGTGTCCTACAGTATTTTCCATACTTAACATATTGTTTCCCTCTCTTTATATTTCTTTGAATTTGCCATATGAGTAGGATGCTAGAGTGGGAAATTTTGCAAGATTATATTGGAGGCCAATTAGATCTTCTAATTCTGAGTACTTTGCATTCCTTCACGCATACATGGACGGATCAACTTGTCCTGCTTAGTGACAAAGATCTTTACTATATTTTAAAAGTACACCATAATTTTGTAAAAGAAGATATTATTCATTCATTAATTCTACAATGTTCTTTGTACAACTAGAAAACAAATCCTCTCAAACTTGAAAAGTACTCTTAAGTTGAGGACCATTATGGTGTATTTTACTACAATATAAATTTACAAGTTTTTAGACTTTAAACCTTAAACTCTATTAATTCTAAAAAAAAAAAAATTAACTTTTATTAGAAGCTCAATTCATTTAGAATAAAAAAAAGATATATTAAAGTAAAAATTATTAAAATTTTAGTTTAGTCACACTCCCATTAAAAAAAAATTCTTGACTCCACCACGGACTAAAACGTTTTGTTTTAAAGTATCAAAACTCTTTTTATGAAAACCCAAAAAAATTTTAATAAATTAAAATTTATGTTTAAATTTATGAAACTAAATAACGGACTATTAATATTCATTGTAAACGGATATTCTTAATGAGATTCTCGGTCATAAAGTAGTAATTTTTACGCTAAATTTGCACTCTAATTGTGCAAATAAGTAGGAACTAAGAGAGAGAAAAAAAGAGAGAAGATAAAATTAACAGAAGGAAACAAGAAATACAAAAATGTAAAATTTTTTGAATTAATCCTTTTCCTAAACTCCATACTGCAATCTTGAACCTTGCAAGGTTTCAAATTAATCCTTTTCCTAAACTCCATACTGCAATCTTGAACCTTGAATTAATCATCTAAGCAGGGCTTGAATTCTTTCTGATCACTAGTAACCACTTAACTATTCATTTGTTAAATGTTACTTTTCAAATAGGACAGAAAATATCCACTCTGCATATTGCTGAGATTCCAATTTAATACAACTATAGAAGAATAAACTAAAATTTTCTGAGACCCTCTGGAGATTCTAGAACACACCATATTAAAATTAGCTCATAATCTTATCTCATCTTATTAAGAAATTTCTCAATATTTTTTTTTTCTTCTTCCTTTTATTGACACAAGGTTTCTTTCTTAACCTTCATAAAACCCATGACACAAAAATATTACAAACCCATTGGATAGAAGTTAACCTTGCAAAACCTTTCCATTAGGTATCCCTTTCTTCTTCAGCGGCTTCATATCAATATTCGATGTTTTGACGGCTTTACCAATGCATTTGAATCTAGCCTAGGACAGAGGCTGCGTTAACTAAAACGCGTGACGTGGTGGACTCACTCCGATACTAATTTTTACAAATACATAGGTTAGAATTCACCCACCTTGCAAAACCGACTTGTAAGGGAAAGAAACCTAAAGTATTTATTAACCCACTAATCATATGTAATAATTATTCTATATGGGACTTTTGATATCTAACATGAAATTAGCCACAAACTAAGCAGATTAAAGCAATCACTAGTTCATGGCAATTTGGCAAGTTCAATTAATTAATTTTGTAAGCTGGATTTTAAGCAAAAGCATGGCTGGATCTTTGCTGGCACATGATTGTAGCCTAAGGACCATTAATTCCTCTAAACAATTTTATATCTTTTTTTTTTTTCCTAAATTACGGCAGAAACTTTGGGCCTTGATTCTTGGAGAGAGGCCTGAAAACTTGGGTTCAAGTTAATTATGTTTTTGCAAAATTTTTGACTGGTCTTATTACCAATCTGTTTCTCCATCTGGGATGCCAGCTATGTCCTTGCACAAACCGTCTAAAATGAGTAATGGTTCCCAACTCTCGGGGGCTAAAACAGTCATATCAGTCCTTTTTTTCATTTTTTTTTGGTGGGTGCGTTGCTCAAAGCTGATTTACCTGTAGCAGCCAAAAGCAGAAATCTGTTCTCGAGCTCAGTAACTGCTGAGGAATGTATTAATTGGTTGCCCTTTTAGGACTTATATATATACATATATATATATATATAGAGGTAATAAAACGAGTTATGTAGAATAGGGCCAAGTCAAAGCTGCACCTACTTGTTTATTTGCTTATTTGTTTATTTAGGTATCTTCAACTTGAAGATCACTCTCCTAGATTTAAGCCCATTATAATGTTATAAAACAAGTTTTGAAACTTTAAATTCACCTAAAAAGGGCTATTTTGGAGCCTTATATACTTTTTTAGACCCTTTCAATTTCTTAAATCTTTAACCTTTCAAAATCTTGTTATTTAGCCCTTGATAGTTTGGAATATTGGACAAGAATGAATAACACTTGTCTACATATATAGCTCATGAGCCAAGACGCTGAAATAGTAAATAAATACATCAAGTTACAAAACATTCTTAGCAATTCAGATCTTTTTCTAGAAGGTACAATAGAGTTTATTTTTTATTTTTTATTTACGTCGATCTTTGTTGTTCAGTTATTTTACTGGTATTTGTTCCAAACCAACAAGGCTACGATTTTCACATCATCTTATCAAGAGGAAAAAATGTCTTTGTCTTGGGTAGACAATGTTATTTTGAGCAAAATTATAAGATATTGAAGAACTTGAAACGCATTATAGATGGAAAACAAATGGGCAATATATCATTTTTTTCTATTAGTAACAACTTGCAAAAGGAATTTTCTACATTCCGATGACTTTATATATAATATTTCTGAAGAGAATAACGTATGAAACAACATCTACTTAACGTGATTATATACTAAAGCTTTGGTACTCAAGTCAATGATGTCTGCTCAGCGATCACATTTGTTTATCATTTTTTTTTCTTCAACTCGTTTTCTTTCTGTATTAGTTGTCCTCTAAATTCAAGTCACAAGCCAAAATAGTTTGTATTGCTTTTTTTTTTCTTTTTTTATTTCTCTCACAGAGATTATGAGAGAAATTTATTCATGCACATGGCCTTTTGCAATCACGACGGTGCTGTTCGTCGTTTTTCTTGCTAAGTTTTTGAAAGACAAGAAGAAGAATGTGATAGAAAGCAAACACAAACTGCCACCAGGAAGAAGAGGCTGGCCTCTAATTGGAGACAGCTTCAGTTGGTACAATGCCGTTGCGAGTTCTCATCCCCCACGATTCGTTGAAGAGCAAATTAAAAGGTAAATTGTCTGTTTAGTTCTCTTATTCGAGTTTTTAATTCGAGTTAAGATTTAATTTTATGTGATAACTTTTTACTGTAGTAAAAAAATTAGATATAATTGTTTCCACACTTATTTGTCAACTACAACTCAAACTCAATCACAGAACAATACTAACAAAAAAAAAAAAAACAGCAATTGAATCTCATAGTTTCTTGGAAAACATTTTGAACAGGTTTGGGAAAATATTTTCGTGCAGTCTGTTTGGAAAACGGGCTGTGGTATCCGCAGACCCGAGTTTTAATCGGTTCGTAATCCAAAATGAAGGAAAACTGTTTCAGTCCAGCTATCCAAAATCTTTCAGAGACTTAGTAGGTAAAAATGGGGTGATCACAGTGCAAGGAGAGCAACAAAGGAAACTCCATGGCATTGCCTCCAATATGATGCGCCTAGAGAAGCTTAAATTCCATTTCTTGGAAGATATCCAAAGGGTTATGCTCAACACATTGACCAATTTCCAGGACAACCAAATCATACTTCTCCAAGATGTTTGCAGAAAGGTATTTACACAAATACCTAGACCTTGCTTGGTAAAATTTATGCTTTTTTGTTTTTGTTTTTTTTTTTTTTGTTTTTTGAGGAATACTTCTATAGGGGCAAGTTTTATTTTATTTTTGTGTAAAAGATTACAACTTCACATTTGAAGAGTTTTTTTTTTTTTTTTTTTTTTTTTTTTTTTTTTTTTTTTCGTGGTAAAATTCATATTTTAGACATGTTCACATTCTTATGGGTTGAATCTTCTGAAATTATGTATGTTTTTCAGGTGACTATTAATCTAATAGTTAATCAACTTTTGGGCGTAACAACCGAGTCTGAGATCACTGAAATGGCTCAGTTTTTCTCCGATTTTGTTGACGGCTGTCTCTCTGTTCCGATCAATTTTCCTGGCTCTGCTTATCACACTGCCATGAAGGTAAAAACAAGTTTTCTATTTACTGAGATTTTTTTATAAATGATTCAGAAGTTTGTTCCCTCCACGAACTAGCTTCATGCACAAGCTGCTCAAAACTTCCTCAAACCGTGACTTCGTCAAAAATACCAAGCCAAAGAATAAGAGAAATGTCAACTACCATAATATGTCAATGATTGAAAACCAGTACCACCCGTTTGTGGGGGCCATCCCATGTGTGTCTTTCATGATACAAGATATGGGTCTTCATTTCTAACGTTTTTTCTTGCCCTTTATAATGAAATTTTTTATTTAACTATTTTTTAAAATTTGGATAGGAAAATTCAAACTCTAAACCTTAATGTGGTAAGTGAGCGCGAAATTATGTTACACTATACTTGCAATCATTTTCCTCTATAGAATATAGGTTACTAGCATTATTGACAATTTATCATCGCACAAAGTTATAAATAAAACTGTGGTCTATTACACCAATTATCATACTACTAAAATTTTGTATTTTGCTTTTTTTTTTTTTATATATAAAAAACATATATTTATTTTGCCAGAATATCATACTTCTATGATGTCACTAACAAGAAAAAACCATTTCATGTTAGGGGATTTTTGTTTTGTCTCTTGCGAAAAAAGGACAAAACGTGTACTCATTTAATTATTTATTATTAATTATTTTTTTGTGGACAGGCAAGAGAGAATAATTAGAAAGATAAACAGGACAATAGAGATGTACAGGCAAGAGGGGATATTGGAAGTGAGTAATGGGGGTACTTGCAAGACTGTTAGAGGAAGAAAGCTTACCTGACGAAGCTGTAGCAGATTTCATTATCAATCTTTTATTTGCTGGCAACGAAACCACTGCTAAAACTATGCTTTTTGCTGTTTATTTTCTCACTCAATGTCCCAGAGCTCTCAAGCAACTCTTGGTACGTACTTCTCCATATAGATCCTAGCTCTCTTAATTAACTACTTAATTATAAGTTTACCCTTAATTAACTGCATAATATATATAACTCACATACAATCATACATACATATATGAATGTAAATGCTTGTTATTTTCTTAATCATTTTTCTGTTATATATCCGTTACTAATTAATAATGACTACCACATTTGTTTATCATGTATCAACATCTAATTTACTAGAGAGAAAGCAAGACAAGAAAAAGTAGACCGAGGATTTAAGTTCAATATATATAGCCAATTGTGGGGATCATTCATCATCAAATTTTTTTGGAACATTTTTTATCTCATTAAAATGAAATTTTGTTATAAGAAATCTCATAAATAAGAAGTTAGAAATATAGAGAATGGTAATTGAGATGATTTTTATCTCATTTTTTTGTTGAATCTTTAAATTCTTATTCCACATTCTAAGAATCATCACACTAAATTATTAAGAAAATATGTTAGAACAAATACCTGTTTCCATTGGTGCAGCCTTAATCTCCAATAGAAATCTTTAAGACAATGAGCACGTCGAGTTATTGTGTCAAATCACTAGAGTCTTAAATGAGTGTTCTCTCTCTAGATGGAGAAGAGGAAAAACGGCCGAATGATTTGACGTATTGTGCACCATAACCTAAGTTTCTTTATATACTGTCTCATTAAGCTCCCATTAAACCTAATTGGGTCAATATTGGGTATCCACCTATTTAGTTCATACCCTGTTAGGAGACTATTTGAGCTCTCCACAATTAGACCACTTAAATAGCCTAATTAATTAAATAACGTTAATATAATTGTTATAAATATGTGGCTCATAATTATTATTAGGAAATATAATTTTCTAACATTTTTATCTCATTAAAATGAAATTTTGTTATAAGAAATCTCATAAATAAGAAGTTAGAAATATAGAGAATGGTAATTAAGATGAATTATCAGTCTGTTTTCATTATCAAAGTAATAGAATATATGCAGCCTATGAACAAGAGTCAATCGCGTAAACTAATGAGAAAGAAATGCGCATTCTAATGAGAATATAATACATTAATGACAAATAAATGTAAATAATGAAAGATTAACAAGTGATATGGAAATAATCATGTCTGGATAAGAAATATCTTGAAGTTGTCCGTTGTCTCTCTAATTTTACCATGAAAAAGTTTGCAAATTCCTTTTTCCTGTTCATAAATATGGCAACTGATGAACAGGAAGAGCAAGACGGTTTCAGAAGTATGTCTGGCGGAGATCAAAACAACATGGCAGGACTACAAAGCAATGCCATTTACTCAATGTGTGAGTCATCATTGCCAATCAGATTGTTTGATTTACGTTTAGTAGACAAATGCTATCTGGTGGCCAAAAAAATAAATAAATAAACCTCAATTGGAAAGCATTTATTGGGTTATTATTCTATGATATCTATTTTACAGAATATGTCATTTTTTTTTTGTGCTGGAAACAGCCTGTAAGTTTGAAACGTGAGCTATTGCAACTTTTCCTCATATTATAAACTCAAACTCAAGTTAATGAACTGTATTTTTTCTATTATTAAAAATATCATAACTTTTTCATTTTAATTATGATTAAAATGATTTTTTTCTATGCATTCACAACGAAAAGACGAATAAAATCCCACCCATGTACCCTATTAAAATTTTTCATCATCATTAAGTTTTTATTAAAATACTATTTAAATAAAAATTTAAGTTTTGACCCACCAAAACACAAATTCAAATAGATTCTCAATTTAAATCATAACTCAAATGTGCACATCCAAACACAAACTCAAGTTACAACTTAAACTCAAGTTATAGCTCAAACTCAACTCAAAATCACCACTCAAATCACCCTAATTCAAAAATGCAAAAGAACAACCCGATAACTCAAGTAGGGGTTAAACAACTGATCAGCCTATTTAGCGTTAGTTAGTTTTAATGTCGCATTTTTTTCATTATTATTATTAAATGCAACTTGGTATAGCTACTTGAAGAGATTCAAAGTTATAACTTTTTTTTTTTTTTTTTTTTTGGAAAGGTATAACTTTTCTTTTGGGTAATAATAAAAATCTCCCATATGTCTTATGAAAATGTTGCTTTCATCACCTTATATTTTTAGTAATGCTACACTCATTTCTTAATTCATACCTTAAACAAATCATGTTAAAGAGGAAGTTTCTAACACGATTTTTGAAATGTAAGGGGACATAATTTATAGGTACATTAATAATTTTTGAAATATAAAGTGAAATTTTTGTTATTATCACGTTTTTTTTTCACGTGATCAATTTCCAATATTGGCCGCCACGTTTTGACTAACATTGGATATTATTTGTGCATTAACTTTTTTTTTCTTTCTCAGAAAAAAAAAACTTTTTTTTTTCTTTCTTTGTAACTATATTCATCTTATGTCGTGCAGGTTATTGATGAAACACTTAGACTTGGGGGAATTGCAATTTGGTTGATGAGAGAGGCAAAAGAAGACGTTAAGTACCAAGGTATGGAGTCCTATGACACCTTAATTGATAAAGATAAATGGTTATTTTCGAGTTATATATAGGGTGGAAAATTTTCACCAGTTGTGAAAAATTTCTACGTAAACTATTTGCTCGTCGTTTCACGTAAAATTATATGCAACTTTTCACAGAAACTGTGAGGCTAAATAGATATGAACTTTGTAAATATAAATCTATATAAAATATATAAAATTTGTAAATATAAATCTATATAAAATATATAAAATTTGTAAATATAAATCTATATAAAATTTGAGAACGCGGGTAGGTTCTTATTAATTTTGTACTAACATAGAATAGCCCTAACAAAGCCTCTTAACTGTAAGCACCAAAAAAAAAAAAAAAATCATTTTTTTTTTTTTTTTTTTTAAAAAAAAAAAAAAGAATTTTTTCTGTTATAAGTAAAGATAGAAGTATTTTCTCGTATGAATAACTAGCAATGTAAATATCATGAACGTTGATCGAATTTATAAGATTATTTCTTTTTTCGTGGCTGGGACAGATTACATTATTCCCAAAGGATGCTTCGTAGTTCCATTTCTATCGGCAGTACATTTGGAGGAAAATGTGTACAATGGAGCTCTAAATTTTAATCCATGGAGATGGATGGACCCTGAAAATCAGGTTGGCTTGCTTAAGTTTATATGATTAATTATGTGAATTTACTAACTTAAGCTTTCAAATTATTCACACAAATAGTAGCTCTAGATTTGGAATTTCGACCACGGAAATAATACATAACGTATAATTCAACACGTATCAGAAGATATATTTTTTTTTAAATTTACATGTTACATGTCTATATATCATTTTGCCTGAATTAATCTATGGCTCTATTCATTTCACCAATTCGAGTTTTACTACAGTAAAAAACTCTTAAAAATAGTCACATCTAAACTTTTTAATACAGTAAAAAGCTCTCGCATAAAATCACATCTCAACTCAAATTAAAAATTCAAATCAGCGAACTAAATGAGGCTTATATCTGTGTTGAACTTTTACTCAGGAAAAAAAGAATTGGAGAAATAGTCCGTTTTTCGCTCCATTTGGAGGAGGGGTTAGATTCTGTCCCGGAGCTGAGTTAGCTCGCCTCCAAATTGCTCTTTTTCTCCATTACTTTGTTACGACATATGGGTAATTATATTTCCATTACTCTATCCACGTAATAGAAAATTGATTCATTAATTTCATGTAGTTTTACTTGAAAAAAAAAAAAACAAAAAAACAATTCGCATGTTTTTTTTTTTTTTTTTTTGGAATAACATGCATTTACCTACTTAATAATCAAGTACTTTCTGTATTGATCTAATAACTTTTTATGACACAGATGGACCCAAATAAAAGAAGATAGAATGTCCTTTTTTCCCTCTGCTAGATTGGTGAATGGTTTCCAAATCAGCTTAACAAGACGGCATATGCAGGCATGACAAGCTGAAGAACTCAAAGCATTAAATGGTTTTCTTGGTTCTAACTTTTATTTTTCTATATATTTTGTAATTTATGTTGTATACTCTTGTTTTCTTTCTTCCAATGATGTATAAATGCTTTTTTTTATACATAAAAAGTTCATAGTGATGTAAAACGTTTTAACTCCAATTCCCCCCCCCCGTTCTTTTTTTTTTTTTTTTTTTTTGAGTTTACAAATGCCCCAAATTATAATTCATGTTGTTCAAATTTTCAGTTGGAGTCTCTATTGCCACTATCAGCCTTCTAATTAGGGGTTCACGGATTGGATTATATGGATTATGGGTCAATCTACAATCTAATCCGTCATTAATTGAAAAAATCTCAGCTTCACAAGAATGAAGAAAAGTGGGACAAGCATGACACTATGGGTATATTCACGGATTTAAAAAAAAAAAGCATGCAAATAGGTTATGAAGAAATGGAAACACAAGAAGAGAAGGGTATACTCACGTTTTTCCCCTAGAATCATTGTCATTATTTTTCTTATCCTCAACTTGCACAGAATCCTCATCCGGGGTGTTCAACAGTTCTTGTGCAGCTTTTAGAGCTTTCAGCCTCTCACGACGTGCTGCAACAGCTTGGTCAATTGAATCATCTTCAGTAGCCATCGCTCACCTACTTACAAGAAAAAAAAACGTTAGATGACTATGTGGTCAGATAGCTAACGCGAAGAATATCTCCTATCTACTATTACGAGGGTATAAGAACATCTCTAAAGTTCTAACAAGATAGTAACAACATATCATAATTCATAACTAGTATCTAAAACTAGACGATATTAGACACATTACCAAGATGAACTCAGGTCTCCTTTTAAGAGTTGACGGTAGTACGTTTTTAGGTGGTTTAGAGGAAGAATCCTCACTTGACTATGTCTCCTACCTAGTGTGGCCGATTTACAGCAAATAAATCTAATCACAACAATATCAACATTCCAAAAATAGTAAAATAATCAACAACAAAAATCCCAAATAGCTGAATACACAAACTAATCAAAATAGAAATTTTCACCAATAT